TATGTGACACCAGCTGATGTGGTAGACACAATTCCTTCTATTTTCTGGCCCTACCTACTCTTCATCACATGGCCATGTACTTCCAGTACTACTAGCACAACAATAAATAAACTATTGTACTATTGCCACTACTCAGCACCCTTCCCTCATGCCAAAGAAACTTCTTACTCCTACCCACCCACCAAACAAAACAGGTTTCCATGTATGACTTGCGAGAACATGATTACAGAAGTCATCACCATCATGTACAATCACATTTTCACCTGTTCATGTGGTGTACACCTGTGGGTTGTTGGCAATACACTTGATTGAAGTGTGGGAGACTCCAGGTTGGCAACAAGTCCTGTCATCTTTGTTCTCTTTAGCGAATTTGCCATGCAATCCCAAAACCTATGGAACGCTATTGCCTCTTATAATGCTATCTTATTTATAAATGTTTTATCTTTTTAAGTGTGCAAAATACTAACGCTAAACTCAAGAACCTATATACAATAGCCAGAGCAGCAATATATATATATATATAAAAAAAACCAAATTCAAAGATCTTGAAAAGCATACCAACATGCTTTTATACTGCAACCTAATGTGCAAGCAGTAGACCACCCCACCACAGGTAAGAAATGAGAAATTTTGAGGGCTATTGAACACTGAATTTTCACAGCTGAACAGTATAAAGTTATTTAGCAGCGTTCAATAGCCTTCAAACTCACTCCTGCCTGTGGGTTACAGTGGTCCAGTAGAAAAAAGACTGTAAAACAAAAAACAGTGCAATACAAATTGGACCAAGATTTTTTCAATATTTTTTAAAACCCCTTTAAAGTTTGTATCATTTTATGCATTTTGAAAAACATAAAAAGATCTAAAGATGCCATACACTATTAACTAGACAGCATATAAAGAGCATCTATACAAAAACAGGTTTTAGCCTATACACTACTGATAATACCACAAGTGTATATTTAAGAACAAGATTAAAAACCTGCTGCTTCAGGGACAACAGCTTCCCAGTCCAACCAGTTCACTATGAATTTTGCTACTGCTCAAATGGCATATACAATACGTTGGGGTTTTTTATTCTATTCTTTTCAGTTGGCAAAACGAACATCTCAACAGCTGAGTAAGATACGGGATTCATTTTATGGCTGTGAATCCTGATTTTTACAGGGCTTTTTAAAAGGGGATCTGAGAGCTGGCATTTATTTACCAAGTGCTAAAAAATGAACATTTGAATATTCTAGTGGGAAACACAAAAACAGTTTCCATCATAATAATTAGATCCACTTACTACAAATTAAACGACATCCTCCTTATGCACAAAAGTTGGTCAGTTTTTCCATTTCTGCTTGCATATTTCAGCTTTCACTGATTCCCTAGCATGGATGTTTCATTGATGGCTGAGGGTAACACTTCAAAAATGAACTAGCTAAACAAACTTCCCAGCAGCACTTGACAGAGCTACACCTATTCTTCCCCATTTCCAAAGCAGTACAGAATTAATTACCAGTTCTATGGATCTATTGTAAGTATAATAGACTAAAGAGCTATCACAGACACATTTATTGTAAAAGCACAATCCCAAGAGTGTCTAGTAGAGGGCCAAAACGATTAACACAAATGCTTTGTCAGATCAAAGATAAAACCTGCACCGCCCAATTGAGGAATGAATTAGAACAGTGGGTTATCTTTCAAATTAACCAGGGCAGTTAGTGAGGAAAATTTCATGAAAGTGTAATTCTTAGCCTTTGTGAATCCACACAGCAGGCATTCTGCCAGCTGACAAGATGATGAAATTTTCATGCTTAAAAAAGCCCTCTTCATTTCCCAATTTAGATTAGCTAGCGTTTCTCTCTCTTTTCATCTATTTGCTCTTCTGAAGCAGAATTAAAAAAAAAAAAAAAAGCAAGCACACAACAGGATCAATCTATTACAGAATAATGCATTTCTGAAAAGAAATAAAATCTTTGCATGTCATTCTTAGATATTTACAGTTAGGAGTCAGCCTATCAAAATTGATATTGTTAATACCATTAAGAAATCCATAAATACCGGAGCAATGCTAGATATGTTTTGGAAAACAGATATAAAACATTTCAATGTTTAGTGGCAAAAAATGATTGCAGAAACAGAAAATTTTATATAAAGGAGAGCAATTTACTAAAACAATGGGATTGTAGGAGGCTTACAAAATTCTATCTACACACTTACATTTGCATCTTTTTAAAGGAAAGAAGGATATCACCACTGTATTTATTTATCAGTTTCATGTGCCAAAAAGGGCAAGCAGATTTTCCACTTTTAGATTTTATGGCACTCCCCCCTGCCCCTAAATTTACCCAGCCACATATAAAAGCATTTCAATAGGCTAAAGGAAACAACACGCAACGAGCTTAAACACTTAAAAAAAAAATAATCTGATTAAAGCTCACTGAAAAAAAGTAAGCTTATTCATTTCAGTGAGCTGTGGATCAAGCTGAAAGGTTCTTGATAGTGTTGTCTTCGTAAAAGGTGGCTCATTATTTTAAAGGTTAAAAAAATTCATTTTTGCATTTTATGTTTTTGTATTATGAGTCATTTGACCAACGCACAAACAATAGCGGTATCTTTAAAAAGAAAATTAATGGCGTCACAAAGTTAGACAATACATTTGTCTATTTTAAATTGATATTTCTGTGCCTTTCAGATGCAACCACTACAATAGGACACTGTTAAATAAACACCTCAAAGTTTCATCAAAGGCTTTGTTCAGACAGTTCTTTGCCATACTACTTCTAGGTGTGTCTTTATAGCTTATAAGACTAAATACATTAGTGCATTTGATGAATTTCAATTCCAGCAGTTATACAGTCACTGCAAGTACTTGATGAAAGGACTAAACTAAAACTTACAGCATGAGATTTTGTAAGAGCTAACAGACAAAAAGGTTAGTTGCTCAACTCTGCGGAAAGCCCTTTTTAAAAATGAAAATTATTGTGCAATTTGGAAATTAATTTTTACAATAAAATAATCTCTCATTTCCAGCGTCTGAATGTATTCCACAGCCAAAAAGTAGTTTTAAACCTTATTATTACAGCTAACTAGGTTAAAAGGAAATTCTCAGAACTTAAAAATATAACCGAGTTTATAAAGCTTTTACTTACAAGGATAAATAAAATAATTTTGAAGGATACTTCATTATCCTATATACCATGTAGTATGATATCTATTAGATTTTAATATAATGTAAGCAAATTGCAATGTTCAATATTCAAACATTTCACAGTTTGGGTCACAGATTGGTCTTAAAAAAAAGGAGAACAGAGTAAAGTATTATACCATTTTTTGTTCTTTTCAGTAACAAGAATTTTTCCCGCCCTTAAATGTATCTTCTTTCATTCATCAAGTTTACTATTGCACACTTTATGCATGTTTTCTAGCACTTTATATACCAGAAATTACTTAGCATGTGGCATTGTGTATTATCGCAACATACATACATTAAACCCAAAAAACTTAATCAGAAGCAACTTTTATACAAAAGCAGTCTGTGTAAACATATTACTTTGAGGTACTATTTAATAACACATTGTATAACTTAATATAATATGTATAACAATATCAATTGAACGATAGTTCTGCAGATAGTTGGACTTTGCAATAACAATGTGAGATCTCACATTTTGGTGACTTCACCTGTCCAAGTCATCTACTTTTAACTTCAATGCAAAGGAACAATCTATCCCTACCTTGTGAAATACTGCCTGAATTTAAATAATCTATAAGTTTTGTGTTCCTTTTGATGCAAAGACATTCAAAAGAAGTATTGATACATTCAGAAATCATTACATTTCCAGAACACAGCTTAAAAAACACTTATCTACAATTGCAGTAGGAACTAATACAGAAGAAAGATAACACAAAATGCGCACTTAGTATTAAACTATAATGATAATCCTTAGCATGGTAGCTGCTGTCTGTGAAAATATTTTGTAATACTTAAGAAAACACACCACAAATTAGGTAAGCCATTCGTTTACAGGCCAAATTTTCAAAAATAAATTTAATTTTTTAAGTATATCAAAGGTCATGAGCACCCAAAGGTTATGAGTGGCTTCAAAATTGGCGTCTGTCCTGAAGCTGTGAAAACAGGCTATGTTGGACAACCAAAAAAGGCAAGCAGGCAATAGGAGAAGATCTATGAAAATCTCACCAAAATGGCTAGCTGTCAAGTCACAAAATATGATGCTTCCAGCATATTAGAGATACAAAACATATTGATATAATTTAAAAACCACGGTGGTTCTTTTCCTAACCAGTCACCACTTCAGACAGTGCAAAGATGGGAATTTCAAATATTACATTTTTTTTTTTTTTTCACAGTGCCATACAGAGCCAACCACAACTGCTGGCACTTTGGATTTCTTGTACTGCCCCCACCCCCCCCCCCAAAAGAGAGTTATATCTAACTAACTACCCATCTTTCTCTTCTTTTTTCCCCTCTCAATCATTACAAAGAAAGATTCATAGTATTTCCCTTCCTATTGTCCTTCAAAGAATTTTTACAGAGCTACATTCAGCTTTGCTTTTCACAATGTAACACAATATACATCAATTTGGGCTGGAGAAAGAGAAGCACATTTCAGTTACATGAGAAATTTCTATCTGCATATTTGACAGTCTTCATAGATTTTCTCAAAAGCATTAAGATAATCAACTCTCTGCACTTCTTCATCTAAAAATCTGGAAATCAAAGCGCTACTACATCTGTAATAATGCTGACACACACAGTTAGAAAAACTTAAATACATCAGACGATCTTGACTTGAGACTGAACTGATAAAACAAACATTCTAAATTAGTATTTGAAATCATTAATTGATTGTTTTATTTTCATAGTTGGGTTTTGACGTTGCATACTACTACCTTGGACTATACAAAAAAAAAGTGTAACATGATAGTCACTAAAAACACAGCACCACTTAGAAAACTCATTTCATATGGCAGAACATTTTCTGCATACTTACATTATAGTACTTTCTCAGGTAGCGTCTAATATCCAACAGTAATTTGTTGTTCATTTGAACCACATAGTTGAGAGGAGGCTCTTCACATTCAGTCTTACTGCACCTTTGCAAGCTGGGTTCAATAAATTGCCCCTGAAACCAGAAGTGTAAAAACAGCATGCATCACTACAACAGATGATTGTAGCAGAAGTTATCACAGGAGTTTAGACATAATACATATTTTTTAAAAAATAATAGTCTTAAAGGGCCTCTAATATCTAGGTCTTCTTTCTTCTCATCATAGTTGGCCACACCCTTATAAAGACTTCTCTGATCTACAGCTTTCCCATTCTCTTCTTAATGAAAGCTCTTCTGCAGAACATGCTTCTTCACCTGCTACGAAGTTAATCATTCAAAAAATTATGTGGAGTAAAAAAAAAAATTAATCTATGGACAAATCATGCTGCTCCTTCTCCCCTCCCAAAAAAACAGGTTTGTTGTTTTATCAAGGACATCAAAGTTCTGTCCAAGCCCATTGATCAGAGCATTGAAATCAATCTTATAGATACCAATTATGAAATTACCAACAGGGCTGTAGAGACAAACCTCATTAAACAAGAATGACATGATCATCTTTTATTTTCTCCAAGTGCAAAGAACAGCTCTTACAGTTTCACATCATCTCATTCCCCTTACTTTCAAACCGTTCTGAACACTTGACATCAAAATTTCAGAACCTGGAAGTGATGTGTGAACAGCTGAAATTAAGTTGGTAAAATTCTCATTAAAATAAGAACAACCTGGTAGGTTAGACAGTTATATCACTTTTAGAAAACTTCCCATCAAGGTAAGACTCAGTTTTAGTGAGCCATCTTGGCTAAGCCCACCCCCCTCCCCCCAACACTAAATAATTCCGGGTGGAAGGCAGGGAGGCTTGGTTTGGTTTAGGGGTTTCTTTTGTTGTTTGGTCGTTCGGGGTTTTTTGTTTTTGTTTTAAGGAGTTCGACATCCACTTCTCTCCAGTTAGCCCATCTGCAAGTTGTCAAGCCTACACACAATTAACTATCTTATTTACAGCTGTAATGAACAAAAGTCAAGGATTCACAAAGTATCACTCGATTTGTGTGTCTCTTCCTCTTACTGGCTTCCAAAGACTGCTTTATTTTGATTCAAAAAAATGCAAAACATCTGCTGTTTGTCCAAATTAACTTAAAATAATTACTTTTAATTTAGATAAAAGATTTATTTGCTTTCAGTTTCAAGGTTTTCACTACTCTGAAGCTCGCTAATTTACCAGTGACTAATACATACATAACATCGCTGTAGAGTTAAATACTTGGCCCTATTTCAAGCTGCGATCCAAGGTCAGAGATACATTTTTTGGCAGAACTTCTCAACAAGAATGTACCCCTATGACTTTTTATGTTCAATACACAAAGACAGAAGGAAAGATAACACAGAAAAACCTTACTATCAAGAAGGGAGGTGGGATGTAGCAAGATAAACACAAGTTTAAAAAACACTTCCAATTCCAATTAATATGATTTAGGATAAGAAATTGTCATTGCTATACGAAAGTTTCATTAAATAGAGAACTGGAAGTTACTAAAGTGTTAAGATAAGGATTCCTTAAAAAGTTACAGCAACAATCACTCATTACTGTGGGCAAACAGATTAATGAAGCCAGATATTCTCACATGTTCTGCTAGACGACACAGCTGAAACGCAAAAACGGGAAAAATATTTCAGCACTATCCTATCAGCAAATTTCTGTTCCAAAGCTATAAATAGCAGGACTCAAACAATACGGTATCTTCTCCTACATCATATGAATCCTATCTGAAAAGTTGTCCTCTCTACAAGTATTTTTCTCTCTCATCGATGGACAGAAATGAAACAGAAAAAAAACTAACCGAACCGTCAAAGACACCGTCATAAATATTTTCTGTTCCACATTTGAGGCAGCAAAACTTGAATCTTTCACAATCCCTATATTTCTCCTCATCAGTGAGCTGAGCTGGGCCACCAACCAAGGCATCATTCTCCTCATCTTTATGGTAATGGTGATGGACTCTGAATTGGGAGGGATCCAGTCCTATTAATAAGAAACAAAAATTTCAAAAGACTAAGAGGTCAACCATGCAAGTAGGCTCATTTTTCATATGCTTGGTGAAGCAGATTCAAAAGAAAGTTACAAAATGTAAATTCAGAAGCTGAAAATCTCTCCTTAGTAAAACTTCCTCTATAAAACATAAGTATATTTTACAATTTTAAACCACGAATAAAAGTTCACGAAACATGAAGAAATCTTCTTACTTATCTTCTTACACAAGATTGCTTTATAAATAAAACAAGCACACTGCATTATCATGGGAGTAGGCAACAGAACATTTTGTTTCTGAGGAAACCACTCCTAACGGATGGCTTTATTGTTATTTTCGTCTTAAGCTACATTGAAAATATTTCAATAAAAATGTGCATCGTTATTAAGAAACAGTCTTTAAATCAAAATGGCACCATTAAAACTGAAAACAGAGAATAAAAACCCCATTAAAGAAACACGGGTGCACTGCTATTACCAACTCCTTCAAGTCCGTATAGAACTGCCAACTCTGATTTCAATGCAGTGGTCGATTTCATTTTGGCTCAGTGGTTAACAGCATGTAGGTTTCAATCTAATGTGGTGGTTAAAATTCAGCAGCAGCATTTAAAACGACAGCGCTGGAGACAAAATGCTTTATTTTTCTTTGCTAGAACTCAAGATTTTAAACAAATAAATACACAAAACAGATCCTAAAAATACTGATTCAACCACAAACAAGTAAATAAGCAAGCAAGCACGAAGTTCACTGGCCTAGGAATAAGACTGCCAAAGTAAACTTAATAAAAATCCACGGGTTTTGTCACCCTTTGTCATGTGCAACCTTTTAAAAGTCCATGTATCCCATTTACAGGTTTTTTTATTTGTTAACTCTAGCAAATAGCACATGCTAGAAAAAAAAAATTTAATCGAATGAGTATGTAGAAGAAAATGCTCAGAAAGCTATGGCTTACTTTATTATTAAGAAGAAAAGATCAAAGAGAAGCACTTTAAAAAATATTTTTAACAGAGGCTAATTAAGCCAAGTAACAGATTACCATGTATTAACCCATATCTTGTATAAATTTCAATAACAAATGTAATAATTACTATAGAAAGAGCAAGAAAGATTACAAATATAAAGTGAAGCTAGATTTTACTGTTCTTCTTAACCTTACTATACAGCACTGGGAGAGTTAAAGACAATGTTTGGGAACAATACTCAGTTAAAGTAGACAACTATTATAGCACATATAAACCAGTTGTGGTATACAGGCAGATATAAAGTGTCTTTACATAAAAGATTTGATGCGTGTGACTTCACTATCACTATTCTGAATTTCTATTTTGCAATCATAAACTGCATTCAAGTACAAGGAAAAATTCCATTGCCAAATAAGTTTATTTGGTTCTTGACAGAACAGGGGTTTCACTAAAATTTAGTCAATCTTCCCAATTTTAATTTTATCAAAAGATACAAATGTGAGTGCATAAGGGTAACAATTCGGCTCCAAGAGGTTCTTAAACTTTTAATACAGTTCTTTACCATTCATTAAAAGGAAGAGCAAACAAAGCAAAAAACATTGCTAATAGCTGATTTTACACGCGATACATATGGTACTCCCAAAAAAAGACTGTGGGGTTTTGTTTATTTTTTTCTCCCCCCCCCCCCCTTTTTTAAGGGGTGGGTATTATTTTTGTTTTTTTTTTCCCCCCCCCCCCCCTTTTTTAAGGGTTGGTAATATATTTTCTGTTTTAGAAAACAAAGACTATGTTCTGCAACACACAGGTAGTAGATAAAAGGTTTAGAAAGGGGACTTGAGTTTAGTATTAAGATTTTGAAAAAAATCAACTAAGTATGCAGTAGTTTGGATCTAAGATAGTAATGGCCAATACAAAAAAAAAATTCTCAGTTTACTCCGAGTTCAGAAGTGGAATGAAAAAACATTGTTGCAACTTTCCAATACAGATGCCATTAAAGTTCAGTTAGAAATCTCTCTTTGGCTGTTTCCCAAAAAGTAAATATAGAGCAAAGTATTTCACCAAATAAAAAATAAAAGGAGATAAATTCTGGTTTTCAGACAACTGCAGTTTTCCAATACTCAGTTAAAACCAGTGACAGCAAATAAGCACCTGGACATCTGGTAGTAATTTAACAGAAAAAAAAAAAAGTTATTCATTGGAAGAATTTAAATCACACCTATCTCTGAACTTCCTTACATGTTTTGGCTGGAGAAAACAACAGGAAAAATATTGTGATGAATAAACTGTACATCTAACTTTTGGTGTGCAAACAGCCCCAGTGAAATCAGAGAGATTACAAATCAGGCTTTTAAAGAGCATGCCTCCCTTAAATATCTTGTGGAACTGGGACCTATTTTACCTATTATCTCCTTTCAGGAAGAGTCAGTCGGTTCAGTTAATCCCGTCCAGCACACCAACTGGTATCCCCCCAGACCAGGTCACACTGGTCATACCGCTCTACCTGGTAAACAAAACAGGGACTACCTGATGGGATGGGGGGAAAAAATTGTATCTGGTTTTGGTAATTTTTAAATGAATAGGATGAGAATAATCAGTGAACTTCTTTGAACCCTTCTCTTTTTTTCCATGACATCGAGAAAAATCAAAGGGACTTCTGACTTAACTCTGACATGAAAATCTTCAGGGTTATCATTAAATTACCGGCACCACAGGTAAGCTTTCCAACCTCACCAAAACTGCAAGGTTGCACGCATGACAAAGAAACGTAACATTAAAAATATGCTGATGAACCTAGCATGACAAAAGTGAATAATAAAAGTAAGTTCCCGGACTTGTTCCTGAACTACTTAATGGAATTATTAAAACATTTGCTAACCAGCAAGCAAAAGCAGTCACTCAAGAAACTGAAAAAAGGTCAAAGACACTTTCCTAATCGCAGTATTTTAAAACTAACGTCTCTGCAGGTGGTTTTGACACGCCTTTCCACACACACTCCTGTCCCGCTGCCTGCGCGCTCCCCAGGGACCAGGAGCGCAGCGAGGCAGGAGCGGCCCAGAGCCTCAGCCGCCAGGGAGGCGTTTGGCAGGGCGCTGGCCGGCTTCCCCGCGGACCGATGAACAAAGCCCCACGGCTTTTCCCTGGATTTTGCGTTTCAGTCGCAGGGAAGCACGGAAAGTTTCCCCGCCCGCACCTCGGCCCGTGAGGCGTTTTGTGAGAGGGAGGGAAAC